TCTGGGCTCAGAGGCCCCTCTGCCCAGGGCTGACAGCCCCTTTAGGAATTCCTGGACTGTGACTCCATGTGAAGACACAGCAGGGAGATAGGATTCAAAGCACAGCCCCTGCAGGCATCGGCCCGCCTGCTCCCCCGCTCTGGGTGTGGGCAGGTGCCTGGACTTCCTCATCTGTGACGTGGGGACAATCCAGGACCTGCCTCCTAGAATCAGATTCACACAAAGCACTGAGTACAGAGCCCAGCACGGTGACAATGAATTATTACTGTGACGAGTGTCCTGTCCTCCCACTCCTGCCCCCTGTGCCGGCCTGAATGCCCTCGTGGGTAACATCTTATTCATGGTTCTCCTCCTGGCCTCAGCTGAGGGACATATTAATAGTAACAGATTATAACCCATAGAATCCAATAGTCCATTCTGATATAAATGAATGAATGAATGAATCAGAAGGAAATATCTCCCTTAGAATAGAACGCCACCTAATAAATGCAGAAGGGATGTTGGAAATAGAAAAATCACAATTTGGCAATCTGCATCGTCATAATTTTTGTAGCAAGAATCATCAACGAATACTAAAATTGTTGAGATAAATAAGTCTGATGGAAAACAGGATGTGTTTGCAACTTTTCTCTAAGCCTGAAATTACTTCAAAACAAAAATGCTATTTTTAAACACAGGTTTTTCTGACTCAGTTTCAGCCAGGGCTGCTAACTGCACCCACGTTCTAATCTAAAACAAGGTGCTGGGCCGTCTGAAGTAGTTCTTTCAGCCACGGTGGTTAAGATCAAGTTTAGAAACTTAGGAGACCACACACCTCCTGCCCCCGGCAGAAACGTGAGCAAGGCCAGCAGGAGCAGCTGGGCGGCGGACAAGGCTTTCTCTAGAAGCAGGGTTGGGTACTGTGGCACTTTACCTCCCCTGCCTTGTGTGTGTGGGGGGGATGCCTCCCTCCTCTGCAGACTGAGTGAGAGTGTTAGGGGCAAAAATAGAATATTGGGGACTAGCTATGGTTATGGGAAATATTAACCATGCTCTGGAAACCGTGGTTGCCTTGTGTTGGTTAAAGAAAGGGCATTCTGACCTGGCTGGGAGTTGTACACCCCCAGGACCTGGGAGTCAACCTTGGAATGTGGTCCATTCTCATCCAAGAACTGCCCATTATCATGGAAGGATGAACAACCTTGTTGCCCAAACAATGGAGTCCACCATCCTCCTGCTTCCCCATGCCTGTAACCCCTACTTCTCCATGTAATTCTTGTCCCACCCTATCTAAGTAGCTGGGTTATGGGGGGCTGCGGAGCAGATGTTTGTGGGTGACCTGCTGCTCTCCCATGCTGCCAGCAGTATTGGGATAAATGTTCATATCTGATCCAACCCTGTCTCTGCTTAATTGGCAGCACGGACCCATCTATTGTGCGGTTATAAGAGGGGTTTCAAGGAGGCTGTTTGTGGAGCTAGACCTGTGTGTCCTGGATTCTGGGGCCTCGTGGGCTGGGAAAGAGATCATCCACAAAAATACTTGGTGCAGACTCTCTGGCAACAGGGTGGGGGCTCAAGAGGCCCAGGGGGACGGGTAGTAGAATCCTGGTTCTGTGTGATTCCTGTTTCAAGCCGTGGGGTGACAGCGGCGGGAGCCAGAGGGACGCTTGCATGGAATAGTGGGGTCCCTGGAGGAGGCTGGTTAGAGCTATTATCATTCCCAACTTAGAAATGAAGTTCAGAGAGGTTAAGTGACGTTCCCACGCCACCCAGATAGCAAGCCACAAAGTCTGGGCTGGCATCCTTTGTCCCGTAAGCACCTCTCTCTCGGCTTACTTTCAAGCCGAATTCAGAGCCATATTAAAGAGCATCTGCTCTTCCCAGAAGGGGGCAGCAGGGGGCAGTGTAACCAGCGGAAGTTTGGCTCTCCTCCAGGATAGCCATTACCCCAGAAAGCATCTAAGGAATGTTTGCCTTTATCCTCTAAATGGGGAAGAACCGCAAACAGCGCTGAAGAATGTCCGTGTGTCCTTACAAACAGGACTGTCTGGGATTCTGAGTTTTGTCCAAGCCTCTGGCACCCACGGCCCCAAACAGAGGCCCCCTCGAGACCAGGGGCCACCTGACGACTTTCTTCATCGCTGCGTCTCAGTGTCTGGCACGTGGCTGTTGCTCAACAAATAGGGATGGCACTGCACGATGGCTGCTGGGAGAAAGGGCCCAGGAGTCCTCTTCCAGCAGTGGGTGTGCCCCACCCCCCAATCCCTGCCACCTAAACATGGCTTCCTCCAGACAAAACCCAGCCACAGGCAAGGATGAGGTGGCATCTGCCAGCTCTATTTACGGGCCTTGGGTCCTGCCGCCTGGTTCTTAGCCGAGACCCTCATCGGTGGGGTTGCTGCTTCGGGTGGGAATATTTTAGATACTTGCCGAGGGGACACTGGTGTCCAGGAATTGGGAGGGCGGGCTCTGAGAAAGGAGGGGGTGAGACTGAATCAGTAAAGCTCCCCTCTCTGCTTTGAAACCAAAGGTGCTGGCTCAGCCTCCACGGACACCCCCTGGGCCACCGTCCACAGGGCAGCTCCTGTGTCAGATGGCCATGAGCCCTGGCACTGGGCTCCGCCCCAAGATGATCTAAGTTGCAAATCTGACCAGGTCATTCCCTGCCTACAACACTTTAAGTTGATTTAAAAAAGCATTTCCTGCTCTAGCTCTGTTGCAGCTGAGAGCGGTGGGGGGGCTCGCTGAGTGCCGGGAGCGCTGCTGGTCTTTCGAGACCCGTTTGTACCCTGCTTCACTCATTCATTCGTTGGTCCATCCATTCAATGGACTAAAACCAGGGACTGTGCCAGGTGCTTTACAGACACTTAACACTTTAATCTTCACAACCTTGCTCTGGGACTACTGTACTGTTCAATTTCCAAAAGAGGAGACTGAGGCCCAGAGAGGACCTGCTCTAGAGCACGCTGGTGAGTCCTTGGGAAACAGCCCAGCAGTGGTGACCTAGGCCCTGCCAAGAGGAAAGGCTCTAAGGCAGTGGTTCTCAACCTTGGCTGCACATTAGAACCACCCGGGAATCTTTTTAAAATCCTGATTCCTGGGCCTCATCCTCCAGGAATTCTGTTTCTTTGTTACTAATGTTGTGGCCCCACCCCATAACAAAGAAACAGAATTTCCGGAGGATGAGGCCCAGAACAGGATTTTAAAAAGATTCCCAGGTGATTCTAATGCGCAGCCAAGGTTGAGAACCACTGCTCTAAGGAGAAAGTAGAGCCTTGGGTGGTGACACAGAGCCTTTCCCCAGCACAGGGCCAGCCTGCCCCGTGAGCGGGGCCTGTGTGTGTGACACTGGGATCCATGAGGGAGCCTCCGTGCCCTCTGCCTTCGCCAAAGACCAGCTCTGCATCATGGAAAAGGACAGGAAGTTAAGGAGGACCGCTTCTGTGAATGTTCCCCACCTCCCGCGTGGTTCAGGGTTCAGGATCTGGAGGAGGGGCCAAACACCAATGAAAGAGACGAGACAAGAAATAATTTGGAAATATTGGGGGCCAGGTGGGCAAGCCCAACTCAAGGGGAAGGACTTCCACTGGTGCCCAGGTCTCGCCAACCTTTTATTCAATTTTGGACACACATCTAGCTCTTAGGCAGGTAATTGCAGTAACAGACAGACTAACTTAAAGGTCAGTAAATATTAGAAGGATTTACTCTGAGCCTATTTGATCAGGAAATAGCTTGAGCCCCCATTGTCAGGATTAGACAATCGGTGCATAGCTCTGGCCCTTGCCATGGGTTCAAGGTTCACCAGCGTTCCGGGCTCCTTGTTTGCACTTCTCTGCTAGTGAAGACAATGGGCGGCTTCCTGCACACTTCCTCTTCAGCCCTTGTGCCTCCCTGGTCCCAGGTGGCATGAGGAGCTGCCCCTCTGCCCCATCCTGCAGCACCCACAATGTCAGTCCCACCGCTGAGCTAGCTGGCTCAGAAGGGGATCCACGCAACCAACCCCTCCCCTTCCCTCTCCTCATACCTCATCCTACCAAAGTCAGGATGAAACCCAGCTCTCCAGGCTTGGATCCGGTGCCCTATCCACTTTTCCTCCCTAGACATCTTGCCCAGGGAGCGCTGACAGTCCCTGGCAGGGAAGCAGGAGAGGGGCCTTGCTGGTGGAAATGCACTTGGAAACCACGCGGGTTCGTGCCAGCCTGCCAGTCACCGGCAGTGAGTCAGGGAGGTCGCCTCACTGAACCCTCATCTGTGTAATGGGTACAGTAATGACAGCCTCACAGGGCTGCTGAGAGCTTCAGTGAATAACATGAAGCACCTGGAATACAGTGGGTGCTCAATCAACTTTAAGCAGCGAACTATGAACCAGGAGGTCCCGGTTCAATTCTTGGTCAGGGCACATGCCCGGGTTGTGGGATGGATCCCCAGTAGGGGGCGTGCAGGAGGCAACCGATCAATGATTCTCTCTCATCATTGATGTTTCTATCTCTCTTCCTTCCTCTCTGAAATCAATAAAAATATGTTTAAAAAAACTCATGGGGAAAGAACCAGCTCCCCTCCCTTCCCCAATACCCCCCCCCCCCCCCTGCTCCGCGCTCCGCTCCTCAAAACACACACATTCACAGGCAAAATGAAAGAATATTAGAAAACCGATGCAGGTAATAGAATGGGGATTCTGGGAGGAACACATTTCTTCCCATATTTACCAGCTGCTTGATACCCACTGCGGACAAAGGAGAATCAATAATGTGGAGAACAAATGGGAGGATTGATGATTTGGGGTTATCAGTCGTGACCCCTAACTTGACCTTTCCCCAAACACACAGTCATTTGGCCAATGGGCTTCTTCAAGAGACCCGGTTTGTGGGTCTCCCAGGAAGGGCGAAGTAGGGCAGAGCTGGGGGAGGGCAGATTGCTGGTATCGGGGACCCTCACCCCGGGCGCCCCAGCTCCGGGCGGCGCGGACTACAGCTCCCGGCATGCCCCGCGCGCAGTACCTACCCGCCTCCAGCCCTCGGGAGCCGGGAGGATGCAGAAGCCGCTGCCAGAAATGAGGATGGAGGCCGGGGAGGCTGCGCCGCCGGCGGGGGCGGGCGGCCGCGCCGCGGGCGGCTGGAGCAAGTGGGTGCGGCTCAACGTGGGGGGCACCGTGTTCCTGACCACCCGGCAGACGCTGTGCCGGGAGCAGAAGTCCTTCCTCAGCCGCCTGTGCCAGGGGGAAGAGCTGCAGTCGGACCGGGTGAGGCCCTGGGTGGGCGGAGTGGGCCGGGGAGGCGGGGGGCGGGGGGGGGGCAGTTTGCTGGGATCGGGGCTGTCCGGCCTGGCACGCCCGCCGGGCTGGGAAGCCGCCGGCTTTATTTCCTAAGAGCCGGAGGCGGGAAGAACTGGCTGGAGGCGGGAGGAGGAAGTGGATCTGAGTGAGGAGTGTTCCCATTGCCTTGGAAACGCACAACGCCAGGTGCCGGCCATTTGGAGCTCCTGAGAGCTGCCCTGGCTCCCACCCCAGGAGGCGGTGGGTCCGAGCCCGCGTTCCCCGCTCCTTGGAGCTTTGGGGACAGCCAGACACGCAGGGCCTTCCGTCCTCCCCAAGCGGGACTTTCTCCCGGGGGAAGGCGTGCCGGCGGCTGCCTCTCCCTGCCTTTTGGGGAATGGGAGGCCTGGTGTGCGGGGAGCTGGGCGGAGGAGGCCCAGGCTGCCCTCGGAGCTTGCCCGGCAGGCACCAGGTCTGGGGGTCCGTTCGCTCTGCTGTGAACTGCTTGCGGGACCGAGTCGGACCCCTCCTGTGCCAGGCTCAGCCTCCTGTCTGGGGCCGGGGACGCTGCTTGGAGTCGACCTCTAAGGGCCCTTCCCCCCCCATCTCCTGGCCATCTGATGCTGTGACCCTGGGCAAGCCCCTCACCTCTGGATGCCCTTTGGTCTCTGTAGAGTCGTGCTGCTGCCCGCCTGCCTCCCTGCAGGCTGAGGGTGTGCAGTGAGATAGTGGCTCCCCAGGAAACGTGCGAACCTCCCGAATGACTGGAGACAGTGTAGGGCTGGCTTCAGGGGAACAGCCTCCAAGAGGGACCATCACTGAGCCCTCCTTTGGGTTGGCTGCCACTGAGACCTCACTGGATGCTCACAGTGACCCCTCGCTATGGGGGAGAGGAGTGAGGCTCAGAGAGGCCAAATCACTGGCCTAAGGCCACACAGCCAGGAAAAGGCAGAGGCGGGATCGGAACCGCTGGGCTCCATCATGCTATCTCATTCCAGGGAAGAGCAGACTCTCGGCTCTCACTCCTTCCCTCCCCGCAACCCCTTACTGGGCCTGAAGTGGGGGGTGGGCGGGGGGAGGCCTTACTCTTCTCCTGCCATAGCCTGTGCCCCTCACCTCTCTAGGATGAGACCGGGGGCCTACCTCATTGACCGTGACCCCACCTACTTCGGGCCCATCCTGAACTTCCTCCGCCATGGCAAGCTGGTGCTGGACAAGGACATGGCCGAGGAGGGTGAGTTGGTCCAGGGGGCCGGCCGGGCCTACTAGCCCTGCCCTCTGCAGCCTGCCAGGCCTTCTGTGGAGGTCAAAAGCCATGCCTCCCCGTCAGGAGCGACATCTGCTTTCCTCTGTGCTCTGCCTCTTCCCATTCATGCCAGGCCTGAGTCCCAGGGGCTCTGCCGGGCTGACCAGCCTGAGCTCCCACTGGGTGCCACTGGGGAGGTGACAGGAATGCACAGGCAGAGGTCAGAGGGAGCCAGCGAGGCTGGCAGCCTTCACTGTGGGCAGGGATGCCCTTTCTCCCGGTCGTCTGGGTGTGAACGGGCTGGAGCTGGACACGGTGATCCAGTATCTCCGATGCCTGGTGAGGGCTTGCAGTCAGCAGGTGGGTGGAGCGGGAAGCTCTGCCCCAAATTCGGCAACATCTGCAACACAGTGTTGGTGGTGGGTGGAGGCGGGGGAGCCGTGCCTGGGGGGTGGCCTCTTGGCACAGTCAGTGCCACGTCAGCTCTTTGTTGGGGCACAGGGTGTGGCTCTGGGTCAGCTGACCCGGCCAGGCCAGCGTGGACATGTCACTTCTCCTTTCTGAGTCTCCACGTGTATATGAAGTGTACCTGGTGATCTGCACTGGTGAAAGCATGTTTTGCAACAGCTAATGCCATGCGTCCTGATGTGCATAGCCTGTTGGTGTCTAGCACAGTCCACCCTCCCTAGCGCGTCCCCAGTGGGCCAGGACTTCAAAATCAGAACCCCTCCCCCCCCCCCCGCACCCCCTCAGACACTGGCTCATCAGGGCCCACAGCTTCCTGGCAGCCCCTCCTGGAGCAGGTACCGTGGGCGTGTCTTGGGCCCAGGAGCGGCTCCTCGGGGGAGGGGAATAAACACTCCAGCTGCCACAGCCAACACCTGCTTACAGGTTCCGGTTTTCTCCCTGTTCGACCACTCCCAGCGCCTTCAGACAGGGCGAGGGCCCCATGTGGGCGGCGGGGAATCTGGGAGGAGACTTCCCGGCCGTGTGACACCGGCAAAGTCACTTATCCTTTTGTGCCTTCGTGCCGCATCTGTGACGGGGGTGACAGCAGCACCCACCTGGCTGAGCTGCTGCGAGGATGAAAGGAGCTAAAACAAGTGTGTCACGCGGCGCAGCATCTGGCACCAGAGGACCAGTGACGCAATGTTAGCCGTCCGTCCTCCGCAGGGCTCCACGCGGGCACTGATGCAGCGCCACTCACTGACCGCCTACTCTGTGTTCCGTGCTGTGTGGGCACCGGGGACAGCAGGGAGCCCAGAGGCCGGTCATGGACACCATCGGAGGGGTCCCTGCCCTGAGGGGCTTAGGGGAGTCCAGAGGCCGGGGGCCATTCCACTCCACTGGAGGGGTGACCACTTCGTCTCTAAGACTCGGTTCCCTTAACGGTACGGGGACGATAATGCCGGCTTCCCTGTGTCCCCAGGGCCGTGGTGAGCACAGGAGGGGCTTTGCAGACTGGGAAGTGGGGACGGGGACATGCACATGTGCGGTGACTATGCACTTAGAGTTGGCCCTGATGTCTGGGGCTTGAGTGTGAATCTCGGCTCTGCCGCTGAGGGGCTCTGGGTCTTAGACAAGCTGCTTCTCTTCCTGGCTCTCAGATTCCCCATTGCTTCTGTGGGGCGACAGAAGTGCCAATCCTAGTTCTGAGAACTAACCACAATAAAGCGTGGAAAATGCCGAGCCTAGCGCCTGGCACGGGGCATCATGGACGGGGTCAGCCAGGGCCCCTCTCACTGTGGCATGCTAGGGCCCAGTCCCAGCCAGCCTGCTGCCCCTTGACAGCCCAGAGCGGCCCCCGGATCAGGGGACTGGTAGGCACCCCTCGGTCACCAGGCTCGGCCCCGCAGAGATGCCGGCTGCTGAGCGGCAGTATCTCGCCCCTTCCACAGACAGCGTGGGATGCAAGGAAGGAGATGTTCCCTCTTGCTTGACCCCTGAACTCAGGAGATGCTCGTCACCCTCGTGTGACTGGAGCAGGAGGTAGGTGTGGAGGAGGAGGGGACACGGGCAGAATGGGAGCAGCGGAGTGACCGGGGACGGCTTTGTCTGTGCCAGGGGTCCTGGAGGAAGCCGAGTTCTACAACATCGGCCCGCTCATTCGCATCATCAAGGACCGGATGGAGGAGAAGGACTACCCTGTCACACAGGTCAGGGAGCAGGGGAGCAGCAGGGCAGCACCCGTCCGTGGCCAGAGCAGCTGGTGATGGGGAGAGGGAGGCGGGAGAAAGGTTGGGGGAGGCGGGACACTGTTTGCCTTGGGGAGTCCCAGCGGGCCTGTCAGCGCGGGTAGTTGTCCAGCTCCCAGACGGCCCAGCAAAGCCCCGGACTGGGAGATAAACACTGGTCCTTCCCTGCCAGGATGTGTTCGCTGTGTCACCTTGGGCCACGCACGCCCCTCTCTAGACCTCGGATTCCTCTGGTGGGACACAGAGATGCTGAGAATTGCCTACCCCTTCCCTTCCTCAGGCAAAACGGGGTCAGTGTGGAGGGACAGGGGGCCCTTTGGGGGACAGGGCAGGGTTAGTCAATTGTCTGTTTCGTGAGATCAGGCGGTGCCCTGGCGGGCACGGCACAGCACAGCTGTGGAGCTGGCATTTCTGAGCGTGGACCCTGGGCCTCAGTGGCCGGCCTGTAGGGGGAGCTGTGAGATGCTCGGCCCGCCCTGGCGGAGAGGGAGAGGTGGGGAACAGGCAGCGAGGCACCCTTTCCTAGGCCCAGATTGAAGGGGAGGCTCCATGTCTCCTGGAGGGCCTGCCTCAATTAGGGACCCCAACTGTCCCCCAGGCCCGTCCCTTCCCTCTTGTATCACAGTTCTGGCTCTGCCACTCTTTAGCTGGGTGACCTTGGGCAAGTAACTGACCCTCTCTGAGCCTTCATGAAAATTCCTAACTCCTAGAGTGTCTGGAAGGATCGAGAGCACGAATGCCGAGTGCCTGGCATATAGTCAGCACTTGGAACGTGGTTCCCATCTTCCCATCCTGCCATTCCCTCCTTCTCTCCCTCTAGGGCAGCAGTTCTCAACCTGTGGGTCAAGACCCCTTTGGTGGTCGAACGACCCTTTCACAGGGGTCGCCTAAGACCATCCTGCATATCAGATATTTACGTTACGATTCATAACAGTAGCAACATTACAGTTATGAAGTAGCAACGAAAATAATTCTATGGTTGGGTCACAACATGAGGAACTGTATTTAAAGGGCCAGAAGGTGGAGAACCACTGTTCTAGGGTATGTGGTGTGGGAGGACAGAAGAGACGGGGGAAGGCAGGTGCTCACCCCCCTCCTGGGTGCCCTCCACCTTGCCCTTCTTCTGCCTGCAGGTCCCGCCCAAGCACGTGTACCGCGTGCTGCAGTGCCAGGAGGAGGAGCTCACGCAGATGGTCTCCACCATGTCCGACGGCTGGCGCTTTGAGCAGGTGGGCTGGGGGCGGGGGCATGCCCAAGGCCTCCCAGTCTCCGGGCAGAAGTAGGGCCCTTCCCTCCTGCAGCCCAAGCCTTGGGTTTCCTGCTGCTGGCCCCACCGAGGGGGGTCCTCTTAAGTTACATAACAAGATCAGCCGGCCGGGGTGGCTCAGTGGTTGAGAGTCAACCCATGAACCAGGAGGTCATAGTTTGATTCCCGGTCAGGGCACTGGGGTTGCTGGCTCAATTCCCAGTGGGGGGCGTGTGGGAGGCAGCCGATCCATGATCTCTCTCATCATTGATGTTTCTATCTCTCCCCTCCTCTGTCCGAAATCAATAAAACATATTTAGAGTAAACACAACCAGGAAAAGGCCACCGTTGGCTGCAGATGGACCAGGACGAGAGAGGGTAGAAGCCCCACCTGCTGCAGGGCAGTTCTGGGCACCCTCCGTGCTCACAGCAGCCGGGGACTAGACTCCACAGTAGTGTGCCCCTGGCCCCCAAGTGACAGCTCAGGCGCAGGAGTTGTGGTCCACATAGGTGAGCAGAGCCCTCCTGGGGCTAACAGCTCCGGGAACAATTGCATACACACAGCTGCAGGGTCCCAGCCAGCGACATGCCCAGCCACAGTCATCTGCACGTTAAGAGAAGCCCACAGCAGTGGCTGCGCCTGAGGAATTCATAGTGACCCCTCGTTCCTCCCAGGCCCGAGGCAGGCTTCCCGGCAGGGACTTGTCATCCTAAGTGGTGTTGGCCTGGTCACAAAGCAGACGTCCTGCCTGTCTCAGGTTCCAGAGGGACAGACCAGTGCTAGCCCGGGGTCAGGTTGACCCGTAGGGAAGGAGAGGGTTTGGCTAGCCCTCTATCCACACCCACACGCGCGCTCCCTGGTGGAGGTTGTGAAGGGAGAAGGCCGGGCCATGTGGAGGAAGGAGCCCCCTCCAGGAGCCAGAGGCCTGATTCACATCTAGGCCTCACCAGGGACTTGCGGTGTGACGGAGCAAGCCGCCTGTCCACCCTGCGCCTCAGTTTCCTAACCTGTGCTGTAGCGCTGTTGTGAGATGAGGAGGACCACTGATCAAGTCCCTCGTGCGGGGGGGACTCTAGCCATTGGAACGAGCGGGCGTCATGCAAATCGTTAGACGTAGTTAAGTCTGTAAGACCCCAGAGAGGCCTTGGGGTCTCAGGTTCTGACTCCTGTTCACTCGTCCTGGCTGTGGGCCTTCCAGCAGGGCACCCCCGCCCCAAGCCTCGTCTGTGGGTCGGCTGGCACTTCCTCTGCTGCTGGAGGAGGGTCCCTGGGGCTGAGGGAGGCCTGCCAGGTGCAGGGCCTTTGTCAGCCAGAGGGGCCGGTGGGTGTAGGGCTGCCCTTGAGCGCCCACGGGAGTCCGTGGCCATTGCGTGTGTTCTCAGAGGCCGAGCCAGCAGGTCGGGGGCGACTGGTCTGGCCTGAGCAGTGGGCGACCTGTCCTACCTCTGCTTCCAAGAGTGAACCGGAGATTCTGTGGGGCCCCCTCATGCCCGCCTGGTCCCAGGGCTGCGGCAGCCTCATCTGGCACAGAGGGCAGCCTGCCCATGACAGGCCTGCTTTTAGGAAGCGGCCTGCTAGGGCTGGGCCGGGCCGGGGTGGGGCTGTGGGAGGAGCAGCAGTGCTGCCATGGCCTTCCTCCAGGGACAGGCCCAGCCCGGCCAGGGAGGCTGGTCTGAAAGCACAGCAGAGGCGCAGGGGGGGAGGGGCGGAGACTGGACTTGCAGCCCAGAGCTGCTCTCTTAAATCCTGGAAACCCAGGGATGCGTCTGAGCAGAACGGCCAGATCAGGACACAAGTTGGTATTTTTTTTTTTAATCCTCACCTGAGGGTATTTTTTCCATTGATTGTTAGAGAGTGTGGAAGGGAGGGAGAGGGGACAGGGGAAAAGAGAGAGAAACATTGATGTGAGAGAGACACATCCGTTGGTTGCCTTCCGCATGCGCCCC